TTTGTCAAATCCCTTGAATTACAGCTGAAAGTCCTGACGTCGCTCCCATCTGGGTGTGTTTCCTTTCAGTTTCCATGTGGTGGTATACAGAGGCCAAATGCCAAAACAGTTATCCTTGTTCCAATATTTCTAGTCCTGACTGTATGCATAAGCGATGCTGAACATAGTTTACAAATGTCTGAACAATGTATTTAAAATTTGTTTAGAAGAATGCCTAAATCTAAAATCTCTTTTATATCTACCCTGGACAGAAACATAATTTGTGGAAGAGGAAAAGGAACCTCTTCCAAAAAAGGAGCAAATCACCTTTATCTTGCATAGCGTTCTAGGGATAGACGATTCCTCCAACTTGTTAGGAATGACTGTCTGAAGACATACCCATTGGCTACCTAAACTGTACTTGCCTTTTATTAGGACACTGGTTTAAATTAGAATCAAATTTAACAAAAAAGAATACCTCTGTAAAAGCTACCAACTCTTCTAGGTACAGAATCATTATACAGAAGTCTATTTTCTTTTGTGGATGCTCCGTCATCTGGGTGTTGATCATGATACGTTCCACCCTAAATAAAAGAAGAATTGATAAATTTATTAGGTCAAAGAAACTTCTCTGTTTGTTGTTATACTTTAAAAAACAGGACTGAATCTGATCACAGCTTTTGTAAAAACCTTCTTTAATTTTATGTTTGTTAAAATAAAAATCAATTCCACATTAAAAATGAAAGCTGCATGTTATAATCATAAACTAGTTCAGAACGATCTAGTTTTTACTTAAAAGGACAGTTTTACATGATGAAAAAAGAAAAATATAATTATTTTTTATAAATAATATGTTAATTATATAAGTCACCAAAGTCACCAAGTGAGTGTCCATGGCTGAGGAAGGGCTTGAACATGGATCTCTCCAGTCCTAGTCCAACACTTCAATTATAATAGTATACTGCAGTGTTTTGTTATGCAGACAAGAAGAGAATTCTAAAATAGTTAGGCAACATTAAGATTTTCCCCCCATATTTGCCTTTTTAAAAGATCATATAGAAACAGCTTGCCTGATATATTCAGATTAATGGGCAGATTAATGACTAATTCTCATTAATCCCACTAATAAATGGTCTTTGGGTAGGAAAGCAATATAAACATTTTAAAAAAGGATGAAGGCATGTAATCTGCCACAGTGAACATTAAATATAATAAATTCACTATATTGCCAATGGATAGTCTTATTATTTGTTAACATATAACCCTTAATGCTTTCTGGTTTTGTAACAAAAATATACAGTCTCAAAACATTATTTATAATTCAAGAGATCATGGACACTTAGAAAGGTTTACAAAGATGGCTGACTCTCATAAATTTTAATCACTGTTTATTTATTTATTTGATTTATATAGCTGCCCATCTCACATAAGTGATGCTGGGCAGCTTCCAATAAAATAGTTGTAAATTAGACTAGTATGCATGTATTTTAAAAATGGAAATCTAATTAAGGAACATGAGGGATTTTAGAATAAAAGCACCTAATTAGGACTAATTACTTTTTTCTGTAGAAATGTATTTTGACATATAAAATGTAACAATTTTAGCAAGTCTCACCTAAATCATTTCAAGTGATATCTCATATTTATCCCATAAAGTACATTTTATGTGGAAAAGTTTTTGTATTTTATAAATATCCCCAGGCTTTATATTTTATATTTGTACTTGTGTCCTTACATCAGACACAGGGCTTGTGTTGTGATGTCAGAGCACATGTTTAATCATTTGGCCCCTTTTGCCTCTTTCCCTGCAGACACTTTCTTTACTAAGGGCTTAGCCAATTCACCTTCAGACAAGGGAAAAAAGGAGTCAAATGGCAAGCAATACACATTAGGTAGTTACATTTCCTGGTCACAAGTTGTCTAATATGTAAGAACAAATATTCTGTAAAGCTTGCGAGAGATCAAGTGCTTCCTTAATTTTGATTTTATTAATAAAATTTGAAGAGTACTTATAAAAAAACCAGAAAATATTCTGAAGGGAAATTTCTATTCAGTTTCTAGATAGCCTTTGAGACATTTAATGTTCAGCATTACAAATTCTAATTTTAATAATAATATATCAATAGGCATAATTCATTTTCTATAGTAAGGTGGAAGTTAATAGTATATATCACGAATGAATTCTGGGGGTGGGGTGAGTTGGAGGGAAAAAAATCAGTTGAAAATAGACATGGATTCCTTATGCAAAAGTAAAAGCTAGTTTTAACAATTCAGGCAAACATACAGTACAAAAACATGGATGGTCCAGATCCTTAACAATCAAGAATTCAACTAACCCTACTGGAATCTTCTGTACAGTCTTCACGTGAAGAACCAACAGATCTTGTGAGAGATTTATGCTGCACCTGTGGAGATAACAGTTGCAGGCTGTTTGCTCTGGCTGCCATCCCTTGCCCTACGCTTAAGCCACCCTCTGAGCCCTTTGTCCTCACTCTGTCCCGGCTCACATACATAGAATGTCTATGAGGGCGCTGCTGTGAAGAAAAAGGACTCGTGTAGCCTAAACCATAAGAAAAAGATTCATGAGGAGCAGATGCAGAATGTAAGTGGCTTCCATCCATGTGATCTGACAACTTTAACTCCTCCATGGTTTTGGAATGTCTTGTAGATGGCCTTCGTGATTCCAGCGTACCATCACTTCTGTTATTTCTCCCAGAAGGACTAAGCAAAGTTCTATTGTCAGCATGACGAGGAGGTGTTGGTGTAGTAGGAGAGTTTAAGTCTAAGCAGCTGGATGGAAAATACCTACTGCTGTTTGATTCTGGAACTTGAACTCTGGCTTCAGACAAATTACCCACAGATTTGGAATCAGTCAGGGCTCCATGACTTTTTGATTTGGTGCGATATGAGGGGCTCTTTGAAGACTGTGGAATAGTATCAATATAACTGTGACGGCTATGTCTTTCACCTAGTTGTAGTGTGCCAGTTTTGTTCTGCGAACTTTCCATAAATGAATGACGATTATGCTGTGATCTGGAATTTGACTTCAGATATTTAGTACCTGGACCATCTGAAGCTTTGGATTCTGAATTAAATTCAAATTCATTTTTTGTCTTTGCTTCTTTTGGACTGAGAAGATGTGGTATGTTGTTATTTGCTAGATCCTTACTTCCAGATGAAGGAAGATTGTTTGGCTTTTTTGACAGCATTGGACTGTGAGAAGTTGCAGAAAGATTTCCATTTAAAAAGCTTTCATTTGTTGAAAGTCCATCTTCTCTTTGCAGTCCCACATTCTGTAATTCTTTGCTGTTTGATCTGTGATGAGACTGCACAGCAGTACCTTTGCTAGCTTGATTTCTATATTATGAACAGACAAGAAAAGCAAATGTTATTTTTTTTTATTTTTAAATACCAACTGAGTTAAAAACACCTCTGTGCTGTTGATATAGAAAATAAAGATCACAAAATGCAGTTTTCTTCACAGTATTATCCAATAGTCCAGATCACTACACTATAGCAACTGTTCTAAAATTGGATATATTTTGGGTCTCCCAAAATTCAAGGATTTCGCACAGCAAGTCACAGGCATAATTCTTCAACTAAGACATTATATCAATGAGCAACAGGTTGCACCAAGTACTCTGTCCAGCAGATATATGGGCCTCAGGGCCTTCTATGTTTGGTGTAGAAGTATACCTGATACTCTGAAGTATCAAGAGATAATCTTTTTATCTGGAAAAAAAACTGAATCCAGGTTATTCTATTTTTTATTAGACAGTGTATGGAAGGCACAGAAAAAATGTTATGTTTGATAGTGGCCTAATTAATTTTAGCAGATTAGAATATGTGAAATAATTATAGTACTGACAATATTATTTCCAGTCATTTACCTGCTGGATAAAGTGTTGCTATCTCCATGGTAAGGTTTTCTTTTAGTTGAACGTGAAGGTGAACGATCTAACAGCCTCTGAGTTTGAAATGATGGGTGATTCAGACACTGCTCTGTTAAGTATCGGTCAGCTGGATCCAGTTTCAGCAAGTTCTTTAGGTCAAATATTCAGATTTAAGAAACATAACATAGCAACAGATGTGGTTGCCACTAGTTACAGTGTAATTCTACAAATACATGCCACTGAAAATTATTTGAAAGTATTTATCACTCCCACTCTTACATCAAAATGTGAACTCTAAAATCTATTCTTAAAAATAAAAGATCATTGCAAACAACTATAGTATAAGGTACACATTTATATGCAGATTTAAACAATTCATAAAAATTACACAGCAAGTTTCTTTTCATATGTGGCTGTAAGAAAACCTCATAAGACTCTACCTTATCTAATTTTTCAGATTTATTATATCATTAACAATGTATTAAAATTATTTAAAATTAATGAGAGCTATTAAGGAAACAAAATTCCATACAAAATCTAAAAATAGTTCTATATTGTTAAAAATATGCAGTTGTGTTGCTTTCAGGAAAAATAGGGGAGAAATTTGAAAAAAAGAAACAAACCTATCTCTGTGCTTTCCCTGATACCATCTCAAATGTTTGTAGCAGTTATATTTTTAAAATATTAATAAATAAGATTATGCAGGATTATTAACATAAACATAGCTAAATTATAGCTGTATATGTAGCTGTAAATGTGAACTGTAATACAGAGAAAAACAATCAACATTCCTACCTTCATAAGATCAAGTAAAACACCACTTAAAATTCCCAAGTATCTCCTTTCCAAAGATTGTGGATGGTTGACTGCAGGGAACTGTAATACATGTTATATAAAAATTCACATACAGAACTGGCATTTACCAGTCATTTAAATTTTGTTTGCATTATATTCTAGCTAAGAAACCAAGAAAAACATGCACAAAAATTTAAAGGTAAATTAAATGATAGTTCAAGGATAATTGTCTTATCAGACCAATCCTGAAACATGCTACTGGTGATGTAGGATTAGATTACCTGTGTTTCTTAAAAAGCTAACAGCAGCTTCATTAGGAAGGAGATAAGGGAGTACCCCACTTCCTCAGCTAAGAAGTTGCTATTAGGTTTGTGTCAATGGTGGGGAAGATGCAAGTAAGAATGCCCGTATGTTTTCTTTCTTAGATCAATAATTCCTTTTAAGTGGGGAGGAAACTGCAATCATTATGGATCACATTTACTCCCACTGCCCACAACTAACAGAGATACAGATGACTAATTAATCATACATCTATACATTTCCCTAGAAATAAATAAAACTTAATGTATACATATGAAAATCAGTCAGTATCGTCTAACTACCGAGAGGGCATCAAGGAAATGAAATCAGCATTACCTTCCAAATATCATTTTTACACAGGTATATTTAAATAGATATGCAGAACTGAAAAAAACCCTTTATTCCTGATCTGTTCAAGCATCATACAGTAAAGCCAAATTGTTCTGTGAAATTATTGTTTGGATTAAAAGAAAGCTGCTTGCTACAAGTACTTGCTAGCCTGAAGTTGTAGCAATCTAACATCCCTTCAGATGGAGTTCAGTGCTTAATTACATTGCCACTCAACTTCATGATCTGAAAAAGGATCCTGTACAACTAATCTGCACACGTGGAGGCATCACTGTAGACTGGCTTCTTAGAAAACACAAAGCCAGTGGAGAAGAGTTAGTGTCGTTTCTCTCTCCTATAGACACCGACCTAGACCCAGACCCAGATACACACAAAGTACTATAAAAAATAAAGTTGCAAAGTAGATGTTGTTAACATGTTAAAATATACAGCCTGGTAGTTAATAAAGCATTCCACTGTACTGGAAAAGTTCAAAAAATATTGTCTAAAAGAAATTGTTTTTAGGAAACTATATCAATAGCAAATGTATACACACACATAAATATGATTTGTGTTAATTGTTGTAACTTAGCATTTATAGTGCATTCGGAAAGTATTCAGACCCCCTTCACTTTTTTCAATTTTGTTATGTTGCAGAACTTAGCATTTATAGTGCATTCGGAAAGTATTCAGACCCCCTTCACTTTTTTCAATTTTGTTATGTTGCAGCCTGCTACTACAATCATTCAAATTCATTTTTCCCCCTCATTAATCTACACCCAGTACCCCATAATAACAAAGTGAAAACAGAATTTTAGAAATGTCTGTAAATTTATTAAAA